GTTCGATACATGAGTAGAAAGTTTTGAATTATGTCCGGTGATGTACCTTCCCATCGTGCTTTCAGTAAAGCCGTTTTGAACGTATTGACGAAATTCTGCACTTGTCCATTGGACTGAGGGTGGTATGGTTGTGATAGAACATATTGTATGGCATATCAACGACAATTGTCCTTAAATTCCGTAGAGGTAAACTGGAGACCGTTTTCTGAGACGATAGTCTCTGGGAGGCTGTGGCAGCAGAAGGTAATGGAGAGGGCTTTTAACATTCTCCTGGCATTCGGCGTGTGGATAAGTGCGGTTTCTGGCCATTTTGAGTAAGATAATGGTTTCCATCAATGGGTCTGGTGAAACTAAAATGAACTCTCGACTATGGGTGTTCGGGATCTGGTCAGGGCATGGGTAATAGTCATGGAGGATGCTTGGTGGCTTGTTGACATTCTGCGCACTGGTTGACATAGTCTGTAATTTGTTGATCCAATCGCGGCCAATAGCTGCGAGGGATCGACTTCATGCGTTCGATACTAGGGTGATCCGAATGAATTTGATTTAGGATTTGGTCACGAAGAGACTTAAGGACTAAGACTCGGTTTCCAAACATGAGGCAATCGTCGGCAACACATAGGGAGTTTCGGTGGTGATATAGCTGTTGCAGATCACCTGTGGACTCATTCTTTCGGCCATCAGCTTAGAACAAACTAGATTGTACGCTGTAATGTTTTGTCCTTGCATGTAGCCGTTTGGATATCCTCTGCGGTGACTGGGAACTCTCTGCTGATTGCGGTTAGGTCAAAAGCTGGAAAATCTGTTGAAACTGCTGCAGTAACGTTCTCGTTTGCCATAGGATGGTCGCTTATAAGACGGGACAAGGCGTTGGCTCGACCAAACTTTTCGGTGCATCGAAACTGAATGTCAAAATCATATCTCAGTAAAGTTAGGACCCACTGTTGAAGTAGATTTGCAGAGTGGACCAGGACACCAGATTTAGAACCAAAAACAACCAACAGCGGTTTATGGTCTGTAAGTAACGTGAATTTGCAACCACAAACTGGCTTATGGAAACGACGGATGGCGAAAACAATGACCAAGGCTTCTCTCTCAATTTGACTATATTTCCGCTCTGGGGTGGACAGCGTTTGGAAAGCATGTATGATGATTTTCTCTTTACCATCTGGAAAGATGTGTAGGATTATAGCCCCAACTCCATGAGACGAAGCATCTGTGGCTATAACGATTGGCAGCTGTGGATAATAGTGGGCCAGCGAAAAATTGGATGATAACACAGACTTTAGCTGACGGAAGGCTGATGCACATTCCCTGCTTCCCTACCACGGAACGTCTTTACCCAGGAGGTGATTTAACAGAGTTTTTACAGCATGCAACGAGGGTAAGAATGCTGAATGACAAGTAGTCGGTCCCAAAAATGATCGTAGGGGGAGGGGGGACATCAGTCGGTTCTGACATGGCACGGGGTCTGATCAGCGACCAGAAGCTTCAAAAATAAATCCCAAATATTTGACTGGATGTAGGTAGGACTGATATTTTTCATGACGAAGACCGAAACCGTTATCTTCCATTCGTCTCAGCACCTCATCTAGTTGGTCTTGTAGCTGTTCTGAGGAGGCCGCAACTATGAGGATATCATCCAGATACTTTAATTCCAAATAGAAGGTGGTTGTACTGGTATAATCCACAATGTATGTTAATTGTTAACAATTCTCTCCATTCTTGTGCCACCTCGATTCGTAGATATGCGTCAACCAGGTCAGTCTTGGCGAAGCATGTACAGCCGTTAAGAACAGTAAAAATACCATCCGTTGCTAGAAGTGGATAGTGACACTGCTCCAGTGCTGCATTAAGTCCCGTAGAAAAATCTGCACACATGCAAATAGAGCCATTTGGCTTTCTGACAACCACAATAGGACCCACTTATGCGGAGTAAGAAACTGGTGTGAGAACACCTTGTTTTTCCAAACGGGAGATTTCCGCGTCGATTTATGGTAATGATGCGTAAGGTACGGGTCTCTTCGACAGGAAAACAAGTTTGGCGTCGTTTCGAAGGCATCAGGAGAAAGCTTGGGATACTGTACAGCAACCGAGACCAGGTTTGAATACATTTGGGAAACGCTGGTTTGTGTCACCAACTATCAGCGGACGCTCGATCTGATTATCAACCACACGTACAGGCCAATCCGAAAGGCCAAGATTTTCAAACCAATCGAGACCAAGAAGGTTTAAATCAGCGTCAGATCGATAAATTCCATTTATCGAAGTATCATGGAAAAATACAGTACGTGATACCTGACCTGTTAGTGACAATCGGCCACCACATACGCTAATAGCAGTTTGTACAGTCTTATGAACAGGTCGGCCAATCTTTCACTATGGCTTCTTGGAAAAATAATCGTAGTGTGTGGAGCTGTGTCGATTTGTAGTTTCACTGGATGGTTATTTACTTGATGGTGATATATTTTTTCCGTGCTGCTTTTCAAGCAGCAGTAAGACAGATTTGCCAACTAGTCGAGACGTCAATCTCCGATGATGATGGGTGCTGCTTGCGAAATCCGTCTTTGCGACCGATAGTATTACAATATCTGCATTTATTCTGCTTTTAAGGACAAGATTTGACGGAACGCCATGCATCACAATGCAAGCAGAGGGGTGGAGGTGTCTCGGTGTTTCTTTTGGTATTGTATGAGCTTTTGGCATGATGAAGAGAACAGGGAATGAGGGACCAGGGATCTTTTTCCATTTCTTCCTGTTGCTTGGATTAACCCAACGCGGCATTTTAAACCACGTGGAATAACTCGAAATAGCACTGAGAGTCTTCATGAACTGGTGTCACACCTTGGTCCGACAAAACCTAGCTTTTTTCAACGTAGTTTTACTTCGGCTTACACTTCATATCGAGGTTTAGTGATGTCTCAGTATACGAAACACACGTCCTTAGCACTTAGGTCGGTGAAGGTTCAGAAGCTCATCGAATGACTTGACTTCGCCTGTTTCTTTGTGCCAGATGTCGGCATTCCTGACATGGTCATTCCACAATATGTCAGAAATGCTGCGAATTCACCTATGGTCAAAAGCCCATAATTTCGTTTTATCTTCAACTTTCGAAGGCTATATCTCATTCTCGTATGTCTAGACAGGGAGAACTGCAGCACGGTATACTTGTTTTCCAGCATGTCGTTAGATATCGCGCTATTCCTTGGCAGACATTATGCAAATCGGCATACACCACACAGGCTGTTTGCATCCGAACTGGGATTTCATCAACACATCATCAACAAAAAGGACTAGGCATTAGTCTGAATAACGGTTCAAGGTGCTATACCTCATACTAGTACTGAGACGCCCTCTTTTGACAACTACAGGGTCATCAGCTTGGTGAACGCAGTATCTAAGATTCCAAGTTACGTAATCGTCCAACTTTTCAAGTGAACCCCGAGAACAGCAAATACGAGGAAACCTGGCAGACTTCTGCTAAGGAATCCCTAATCCCTAGGAAAACTAATTCATAATATGTATATTTTATCACTGTAAAACTTAAACCTTATTTTCGCACCGTTTTTGCGCCATGCAATGCTACTCATTGTTACCGAGATTCAGGATATCGAACGCTGATAGGTCCATTTTACAATTAATATTCTATTCTGTTTTCTCTAGTCAAGGCCAACTGAATATCCAGCTATGGATTCATTCATTTAGTTGAAGTAAATATACTTTCAATCCCATCGTCTTGTTCTGGTGTCAGGTGAAAGTCGTTGTTCTATCGTTAATCGTATCAAATCGGAGCATTATATCGTTATGTGTATACCGGAGAACCTAACAGTATTCGTGGTTTGACGTTCTTTACTAGTTTGATATTCTTCAGAGACTTTCGTGCTTGAAATTTTTTTCCCCTAAATACTCTTTCCTCTACTTTGGCATGAGTCTTTTTCTATCCCGTTGTTCTTTTCTATACTGCTGAGAAGCCTGTTACCTTAAACTGATGCACTTGTTTCCTTGTCCCTCCGTTGATTGTATCTCCATGTCTTCACCGTAGGGTGAGCAGTAGTACCATGGTGCTGTTTGTCATTCGTGAAACGCACTTCACTGATATTTGAGCCCGTTTCAATCAGCAGTATCACTTCGCTCTCATATCACCATAGCGTAGTAATTTACATTATAACGGTGATTGATTTTTGTCTTACCAATACACGGCATTTCTAATCTGATAAAACTAGATAGTAATTACCCCGCTAGGATGGGAATGGAAATTGACTTGTGAAACCAGTTAAACAAACCACTGTTTATTTCAGTTTGGAATCGCGTTGCGTTTGACTGGTTTGTGCCATCGTGACCGATATCTGCTACAGTGACGTGGTGGGGCTTGGATATCAAAATGGCACAACGAGCTATACTAGTGCAACGCTTGTTATCCGAGGTCCTACCATGCCAGGAAGGTCTGTTCGTCAGTGGCAAGACGAAAAGCAGTCACAGTTGTAGTGTAAACTCCTACTCTGTTATGGGAGACCGAGGACGAAGTCATGCTGCTGCTAGCTGGATAAGGTGTAGCAGCAGTAAGGTGTTTCCTTTAGATGATCAACGGTGCCACACTGATGCTGCCTTTTCAGCGAAAAAGAGGGGTTGGGAAAGGTCAAACCTAAAAATAAACACTCCCGCTACTCCCATACATACCAGTCCCGGTAGTATGCGTTGAATTCAGAAATAACAGACCTAAATCTCAAACTTTTGAAATGTGCGTGTGTGACTGACCTCCAACTGATATTCTTTGGACTCTGCGGTGACGTACTAACACTTTTTCTTCAGGTACCTTAAGAAGAAATAAATATACAATGATTTCTGTCTTGTATCATCTAAGTACAACATTTTAGTACTGAATTCGTGTTTGCTGTTTCACATAATCTCCAAAGTTACTTAGTAGTATATCAAGTTCGTTTCTGTTTTAAAGTCGAACGTTGTATGGTTAAATATTGTGTTATTTCCACTTTTTCCTTCAGATGAATGTTGGTGAGGAAATACCAGCTAGGTGTCTTGGTGAGACAGGAGCTCTCAGTTTCAAAAAACCTACTGAACAAGATCTAAAAGATACCCAAGAACTAGAAGCTAGCCTGGCACAGCTTAATATTTTTGAAACCCCAGAAGAGATATCACAGAGGCGTGAAGCTCTTGTCAGGCTACAAGAGATTTCTAATGCTTGGATTCATCAAAAGGCACTTGAACAGAACTTTCCTCTGCATGTGGCCAACTCTACGACTGGAAAAATTTTCACTTTCGGTTCATACCGTTTAGGTGTCAATTTCAGAGGTGCAGATATTGACTCCTTACTGGTTGTCCCACGGTTTATAACACGCGAAGAGTTTTTTAGTGATTTTCAGACTGTATTAGGAGAAAATCCTAATGTTGAAGATTTGCATGCTGTTGTCGATGCTTTTGTTCCAGTGCTAAAAATGAGATTCATGGGAGTTGAAGTAGGTCACATTGGAAATTATCCTGTAAAAATTTCTTTTCATAGATTGATCTTTTATTTGCACAAATTGATCAAATGTCGATAGCAGAAAATTTCAGTCTTTGTGAAAACACAGAGGTGCTTATGCGAAATATGGATGAACGTGATGTACGAAGTATTAATGGTGTTCGTGTAACCGAAGACATCCTCAATCTTGTGTACAATAAAAATTCTTTCAAAGTAGCACTTAAGGTACATAAATCATCCTGATACTTACTATCTCATCTAAGTATTGTTTGCACAGAATAGAGTCATAATTCTTGTATTCTCCGTTTAAGGTGATACGAATTTGGGCTAAACGCCGAAATATTTATTCAAATGCATTGGGATTTCTTGGTGGTGTTTCTTGGGCAATCCTAGTTTCTCGAATATGTCAACTTTATCCTTATGCTACACCATCTATGATTGTTTACCTATTCTTCACCATATTTAGTCAATGGCCTTGGCCAAAACCAGTTAGACTACGGGAGTCCGAGTATATCGCCAGTTTGTGTTTACCTGTTTGGGATCCAAGGGTGAGGAAAATTCTTATGAATCGCATAAAAAATTTTTTTTATCCCCTCAACATTTGTACAATTGATTTTTGATCGTTGACACTTAGTAATTGAGGTTTGTTAGACTGGTTGCAGAGAAAGCTTAAGTTTATAGAACTACTTATACATCCAATAGATTGTATCTCTAATCGGAGTACAGTGACGTAAAAAGTTAATTGACTTTATACTCTTCCTATCTTTCACACTTCCCTCAGTGACGAAATTCAGTCGTCAAAGACCGGTCTATGACTGAGGGAGACTCTTTATTTGACGAAAATACATCATTTATATACAGTTTTCATCAACATATAAAATCGCTAGGTCAGATGTTAGGTACTGATTTTGATTGGTCAACTGTAGAACAAAACTATCCAATATGGTATTTCCTGATCACACCGTAACATGAAACAAGGTTGAAAGCCAAAACGTTTACCCTATCGACCGATGATTTCGATTTAAGCCGCTTTCTATCACCTGTGCTATTCAAACATGATTTGCAGATTGTTTTATTCATACTGTTAATTTGACTAGTAGTAGTATACAGTTAGAAATGGCTAATACTTCGCTTACAATAGTAATAAACTTATGGTTTCGCATACAAGTAAATCAATCTGCTTCTCCAATTTTCATCCTATTTCGTTCTGGACAGCGCAACAGTTTTATAAACTTTCATACAGTGAATGTGATTCATAACTTGACATAAAAACTTACCTCGGTTAGAGTTACACTGTGATATATATCCCTGCATGCCGATATACTTCGTCTCAATATGCTTCCATCAGTGATGAAATGAATTCATTTAAAAATGAATAAACTTTTCACGTCGAAATAAAACTCAGGCTAGAAATTAATGTCTAATTATGCTTTTCTAATGTATTAATGAATAGATTGGCTAAAACATTTCATCACATCGCAAACTGTAGGAATTACAATCTTTATTGAAAAGTTTAAATTATATTTAAGATCATTTTGTGGATTGCACAGACTAATTGTATTTAACAGATTGTGTAATGCATTAATAGTTAACGCAACCCTATCCAGTCCGAGTGTATGTGTGTGTGTGTGTGTGTGTGTGCACTATACTGTGCACCATATTTTTGTGTAAAGGTTACTCAGTTGTTCGGGTTGAATTAGTTGAAAGTGAGTTCGAAGTTGACTGCTTGTAACAATAAGTCACATTGCTGATAATCTGTAATTCATTAGTATTGAAAAATTGATTCTTTGGTGTTGTGAACATTGCATCCAAACTGAATTATTCACTTTAGTAAAATACAACTGAATAACCCTGTTAGGTTCTGAGATGCGTTCAATTGTTCAATAGTCAAGTTAGCTTATTAAGTTCAAACTGTTAACCTCATTGGAGAAGCATTGTTATACTGACATTCACTGCGTTCAAAGGTTATTATTCTAATTATGCTGTAATTTCAATTATCAAGTGATTTCTTAATGATGACTATTATTATTATTATTATTATTATTATTATTATTATTATTATTATTATTATTATTATTATTTGCCAACTAGTTAAACCCTCCAGATCAATACCACCTCATGCCGATATTGACCCCTAGTTACCCATCCCAGAATTCCACGTACAACGTACAGCGAAGTAATCGGATTATTATTGAAAGGGAATTGAAGCATGGTGGGTTCTAATGTACTATAGATTTCTTACTTATATTTGTTCATCTTCTATAATGTTAACCGTCGCAAAATGAATATCCTACAACCTAGTACGCAGTTGTTTACAGTTACATTATAAAATGTAGCTTAATAAACCTATTATGTTTTTCATTTGTATTCGCTTGCTGAGCTATTCATGACATGTGTTTGGTCACCGTCTATCCTGTTGCATAATGTTACCTGGAGGTGGTTCAGACGGGAAAATGGTTAGATGTAGCAAGACCAAAACCATTGAGTTGGGGAGGGGAATATAGACTTCCTATTTGGGGTCCATGAGATATCAGAAACCAGTGTTTAGGGACTTTAGATGATATGACTCGAAATCGATCGCGATGGCACAGCTGTATCCGCGTATTATCTTTATCTTGACCACCAGACAGGATTTTACTGTCTTTCTTTGTTCTACCGCTGTTGATTAATTTCTTCTGCATTACTCTTTCGCCTTGGTGCATTTTTCAAATGGTAGAAAACATTCGGTTCTGTGTTCCCTAAGCTTTTATGCCCCCTTTGTGAACGTTTCAGCATCAAACTAGGTCCCGTGTTGATTTTGACTGACTGACTGACAGACTTATATTCCCCTAGGATTTGGGGGAAATAAAATACACTGTCTGGGGGCAATTCATGCAGAAAAGCAATTGATTATCCCCCCTTTTAAATATAGTTATTTAATATATGGCTGGTGCAACCTATTACTACACTAGGCATTTTTTTCTGAAATGTTCATTCTTTCAAAACGTGCTACACAACCAAGTGAATGTTACTTACTTGCCTAGTAGTGTAACAACACTTTCATATCTTTCTAAAATGCTTATCCTTTATACATAAATCAAGAAGTTAGTAGACCATTTTACCAACAATCCATGAAGTCAGTAACTGTTTATCTGAGGCGTATGAGAAATGTCACATAGGCAGATAGGCCTATCGACGTGGAGCGACTGTTCATGCTGCCATAATACAAAACCACCCATACAGTGGAGGAAGTTTAACAGAATAGAATGTTACTGAAGTGTAAACAATGGTGAATGAGAAGAAATATATTAAAATTGTTGAAATCTTCGTTTTCAACGAATAAACATCTGCATCACTGCGGTCATTAAGACCAGCCTTCGACTGCCAGCTGCTAACGCCGTGAATATTCCAGCCAAATGACCTGGTCATCATTTCCTTCATCTATAATTCTACATCTGTTGATGTAATATTTCTGTGTTAGGTAGTGAGTATAGTAGTGCTAGCCCTAAGTTTTTGTACTAAATTGTATCTGTTATCGTCTTCTAGGCAGTTGAACTTCATTCAGTATATCACAGGTTTGTACAGCAAGGTAGAGTATCCTTAGCCCCCCTCACATAATGGGTGTAGCTCACTGCCAATTGCACAAATGTACATGTAGTTGCTGAGTGTGTTTTGACTTTGATTTTCGTTTCTAGATAGTATGATTTGTCCTTCAGTTATGTGATTGTAAGTACCATTTCACTGTAGTGTCCTGATGTTGTAGGCAGTCATGTTTTTCATATGGGTTAAAAAAAAGGTGTTATATTACTGCTAAAAGTAATGCTTCTTTACTGTAGAGAAGTGCTCAATAAGCGAAACCATTCAAAATATAGAAGAATAATGTATCAGTGCAAGTTACTATAAATTCATGTATAAAACTTTTCTAAGACAAAGTACATCAAGAGTTCATGGACTTGGTCTCACATCTTTGTTGAAGGGATTATTTTCATGTCAACTAACTAAAAAATTTGAGCGTATACATACATACTTTGATCACTCACTGTGTATCTGAATCATAGGGATATCTCTTATTCCGTCAATCATTTCATTTTACACATTACTACTACAAGTTCTATCATATTTAACTTTTTAAAAGGTTTGAATATTGTCAGAGAATCAATGATGCACAAACGTTCCTGGTCAGATTTATTCGAAGCAGCCTTCTTCTTTCAGTATAGACACTATGTTGTTGTCATTGTTGTTGGAAATGTTAAGCACACCTTCATTGAATTATGCGGTCTTGTTGAGTCAAGATTACGTGTTCTTGTTAGTAATTTTGAATTAAACCGTTATGTGAAAATGGCGCATATAAACTGTCGGGCCTATGGGAAAGGTCCTAATGATGGAGATGCTAATTTTGTGCGTAAATGGTTCATTGGAATGGAATTCGATCGTAATACTAGCTCATTGACTAGTACAATTCATAATGCAAATACTTCTAATGAAAAACCTACACTTAATGTAGACTTGAGTGAGAATATCAGCTCTTTTGAAAAATCAATTGAACGTGGCTTATCAAGTGAAGATTTATCTGTGACTGTTAAATATGTTAAAAAGTGAGTTTTTTAGTATATCGATCTCACTGAAAATTATTTTTTACTTTTTCTGTTTAGACACATCTTAAGGTAATACTCATCCATCAATATCAGACAACAAACTTGATGACATCAAAATTGAGTGTCCCCCCCATCTCAGTGATAACATACGTTCTCTCAAGGTTACAACTGCGCCTTGATAATGGGTGTTAAAAAGCATGAGACCTAGGCTTCCTACTAATATCGTCTCACTAACCAGAACAAGGCATGTATCAGCGAAGAAATATTTCTTTTCAACGACTTCATTATCAAGCTGTACAGTCGTATTTATACTCAGTAAAGTGACAGATAATTGCGCTATAAAGTTGCTCAGTCAATATGCAAAATATACAATCGGTGTAGGTGGTGGTATTTGTTCAACTGGAAGAGATAGAAAATGGGTCACTGTGAATAAAGAGGGAGGAATTGATAACAAGTGGTGAGATAAACGACAAGTGCTGTCAAAGAATTGTAAAATGGTGATAATTAAGCTGAAACGTGTACAATAGGTCAATGATATTAAAGAGTGAAATATAGTTCATGTGTTGTCAATGAAGTGAAAATTAGCGATAATAGAAGAGAAGTATACCAAAGTGAACTGAAAACTGACAAAATCAACAAAATGAATTGTTAAGGCCAAGGTAGAGAAAGTGGTTTCACAAAATGTTTTTGAATGCAAAGTTTCAGTTTTTGTTCATGTATATCTAATGCTTCAGCTATGCATAAGTGGTGGAAACGTAAACCTTTGGAGTAGTTCAATTTAACTTTGTAAATTATTTTAAAGGATGAATCTTGAGGTGCTAAGTGTCCCAATACAACAAGGTGTTCATATATGGATGAAGTTGTTTTCCTTTGCTCGTCTCTGGTAAGCCAAACGGGGTAATGTTCAACAACACGTTTTCGGAGGGCCAGCTTACAACGTCCAATATAGTCAGCTCCACAGGAGCATGTGAACTTGTAGATACGCATAGAAGTGGACATAAGTGGAAGCCTATCCTTCACGCACTGATGAATCAGACGGCGACTGGAGAATATCAATCTCAGTCTAGTAGCATAGAAGCTACTATTCATACATCTTGACAGACGATTTTTCAGCACTTCGGCTGTGATGTCTCCTTTGAATTCTAGATTCATGGTTAAAGTGTTCTGAGTATAAATACGACTGTACAGCTTGATAATGAAGTCGTTGAAAAGAAATATTTCTTCGCTGATACATGCATGCCTTGTTCTGGTTAATGAATAAATGGGTATATTTACTCAGGTAATATCGTTTCATCAAATCTTAAATATAATATATCCATTATGGTAGATACTATCCGTAAACACATTTTTGTGACAAGTCACTCATTACGTCTGTGTTATTAAACTAGACTTCAAAATTAAAAACATCAGATAAAATGTAAATTGATTCTTTAGGAGTCTACTTTTGTGGATATACGATCAGTTAAAGCGTATTTATGTTAAAGGTTAAGTGATTAGTGTTGGTCAATTTATTAATTTCATGTAAGCTGTGACTTTTTAGTTCAAATACTTGGTTTCCAACCAAGGGATCATGAGTTGGAGTCCTGTTCCACTAGATAGTGTCATAAACACATTGCTTAGTGCATGCTTTTTCACGTATTTGTTGGGCTGCTTCCTATTTTACTCGATTGGAATCTCTCTCCCCCCCCCCATGTCTCTCTTTGCTAATTGACTAACTTTCGTCTACTAAGATTACTGTCATGGTACAAATTATTGCTCACGTGATGTAGCCACCAGAAGGGAGTAGTGGTTGGAAAAGTAAAACTTTACTCTCTACATGATCATCGCTTACACAGTCCACAGAAGAAAAAAAACTTACCTGTTTCTTTATTATTATTATTATTTGTCCCTTGGGTTCCTAGTGGAACATAAGGCTTCAGTAGCACGGTACCACTTCACTCTCTTCTCTGCAGTCTTTTGAACCTGACGCCACGACTGCTCACAAGCTTTCATTTCTTCCTCACACGATCTCCATGTCACCCTTACCTGTGACGCTCAACTCGTCGTTTCGTATGCAGGTTCCACTTTATGGCCTAGCCTGGCGCGTGACGTAACCAAATGGTCCTCTCAGTGTATGTCCAATCCAATCCATCTCCACTTTATTCTGCATATTTGTTGGGCGATAGGGTGTTGGTTGGTTGGTTCGTTGCCAGCCACAGAGTTCCTTGTTGCTTATTCTTATTGTTTCTGGTCATCTGAGCTTCAGTAAGGAGCCAATGTAGGCAGTTGCTGATGAATATCTGTGGTTTGTTGGAAATGCTTTTCGTAACTCGCCAAGTCTCTCAACCACCATATTGAAGCACTGACTTGACTAACATTAGTGTTGAAAATCCGGATGTTGTTCACGCTTTATGCTGAGTGGAGTGGAGTGCAGTGCTGTGCTGTAGATCTCCACACTGACTTCAGATTAATGTAGGAAGGCCTGTCTTGCTGTCTTTCCGCTTCTGACTGGCTTTGACGTCCGCATCTGTGCCACCACCGCCTGTAGTTGAGACGATTCTGCCTAGGTAGGTAGGTGAAAGAGAACTTCCTTTAGATTCCTCCCGTTGAAGGTGGTTGGTGCTCGTTGTTGTTGGTTGTGTGTCTTCTTCACCTCTGTCTTCTTAACTTTCACCTACAGGAAGTCCTGTCTTCTCTGCCCTGTCTCTTATACCAACATGTTAGTTTTCTCCTGTAGATTTTCGAGTTTGTACGACAAGACATTAGACATAAATCATCACGGGCGAAATCCAGATCATCTTGGGTCTTTTCATCATTCAAACAGTATATGCCCCTCTTCTCGCTCCTCACAGTTTCTTGCATGATCCAGTCCAGTCGACCACAGTCAAGAAGATCATCGGTGGTAGTAGGCGGCACTCCTGTCTTCACTTCAAAGGCGTCACTGAGCTGCTTTCCACTGGGAATCACTTGACATGTGACATTGTCAAAGAGCTGTTTTCTTTAGTTAGCTGAAAGTTTGTATGTATATGATTTCAAAAGAGAAACTCTACTATGTTTATACGTATAGATGGTTAATTGATCTCGACACCTACTTTGTTTAATTTTTCACGGTATATGTTTTAGCCTAACCTAGATAGTATAGGAAAATATAAATATGGTCAGGTGACGGTTAGTCTCTGTTCTGACTGTTACAAGCCGATCATCGATACAATTTTATTCCCTTCTTGATTCAAATCTTACTCCGTCCTCCTTGGTTGATTGTTTTTGGTAAACAGTCAAACGCCTTATGTTTATTCTTTCCTTTAGATGTCCTTGTTTTGTTTTGTTTGTCTTATATAACAACATCACTGGTTGAACTTTACTTTGGTGTGCCTATATCCAACTTACATACTATATCAAACAGCTCTAGCATAACTTTACTTGGTTGCGCCATAATTGTTTGTATTTACACTTGACTCCGGTTACGGTCCAAATCTTCATTTCACCTTCAATCATCACCCAGTATCAATACTAATCTACCATACCACGGCTGTCTCAGTCAAATGATAATCAATATGATGCTCCCCCCTCTGTAATTCAGTTACGTTTGGATTGGGATGAGAAGTCCTGACTCTAGGCAGCCAGCATGAATACGATCAAGCGATAGTAACGCATCATGAATTCACATGGTAGTCGTGGAGCGAAACCCTTGGTGGTTGAAGTGAAATAAAAATCTGTCCAGCGGTCGGACCTCATAGCCCAAGTGGTTGGGCCTCTGACTGGAAACCCGGTGGTCCGGCTGCGGTTCAAATTTTCATTCCACCCCCAGTTACCACCCAATATCACTAAATTTGGTATATCTTTGTTTAAGGTATCCTTATATTACTTCTTAATGAAATTATTTCAAAATTCTTTGAGTGCTGTGGCTTGTCTTGTTCAAACAACCCTCGTATACTTGTCTGTTGCAGATCCCAATTGGTCCACTTCATTTCAGCAGAAGATATGGAAGAAATCAAACGTCAGGCTGCTGCTGAAGCTTTATCGAATGTAAATAGTTTGGAGAATAATAAGTCATGTCGTATACATCCCAATAATAACAGTCTGTCAAGCACAATGTCCAGTCCAGCAAGCTGTATTGAGCTTTCTACACATGAAGACGTCTCATCACCTTCAAGTATTCTAAAGAATTCTGTTTCTTCCAGTTCTTTGATTAACACAAGTGTTGCAAATTTATCAACCGATGTGAAATGTCCCCCTTCCTCTCCTATATCAACATGCTCTAGTTTGGGTGATACTCCAGCACCTGAGGTCCAATTAAATGGACCAGTCAATGTTTCAGATGATCACGAAGAAGTAGGTCTTGTAATATAATTTGATAAAGGATTTTCCTAAGCATTCGAATCTACAAAAAGGTGTGCACTGACTTATATATAATGCAAGTAGAATATGAAAGGGTGATAGAAATAGCATTTTTGAGCAACTATTCACGGCCTTTTTTGTTTGATATTATGCGATTACTTGACTGCGCAAACTACGAACACATGGTTCAGAGATTAAGAGTCATCTGTACAGATCAACCGGCTACAGCTTTGAAATAAGACTCTAAACAGTAATCTGTTAACTAGTGGATTGTAAATTGTGAATACGCTACTTGCTTTTAAACGGGATCACTCGAAAGCTAAAAAAATCTAGGATACCGTTTCTAACAAGGACCGTCATAAGATAAGTGGACTTCTTTAGGTTGCTGCATTCACTTGATATTATTATGGGGCACACTATGCAGTGTTATGAACAGTAACTGACACGAAATTCTGCTTGTGTTTTGTTTTTCAATTTTCAGGACGCCAAATCAGATAAACTTTTGTCACCTTCAGACCAAGTTTTGTGCAATAATACTATCAAATTAACAGATCCTCCTGGTAGGCTAACACCAAAACGTTCTGGATCAGTTGATCGAAGTCCTGAAATCTCCTCTGAAGTTCATTCAGATTGTAGGAGTACTGCTGAAAAACTGCATGATTCAGAAGACTTTAGAAAACGTGCTCGTATATCTTCTGAAAATCCACGAACTGTTGTTTTCACTTCTTCTGCCCAGTAATATCAATAATGGTTAATGTGAATGAAAGAAAGGAGAAAAAAAAACTTTATAAAATTCCCCTGTAATTATTTCTATCCCCAGTGTGTATCGTCGGTTGGATTGAACATAACTTGTGTATTCATTTCGCTTATTTACTGTTCACAACTTTTCGATAACTCCTTTCGCTTGATTGATTGATAGATATCTCCACAGTAATTCAACTTCTCAATGTTTGCATTTATACCGACTTTTTTTGTTTGTTTGTTTGCTATTTCTTATCATGAATAACGCACTTCTTCCGTATTCCGTTCATTTTGGTAAGTTCCATTTTCAGTATTTAATTTAACCGTAATACCTACCTACCTACCTACCTACCTATGTATCTACTTCAGCGATAGAATTTCAATAAGTAGCATAGGTTTTTATCATTTTGTCCATTATTTCTTTTTCAACTGCATCGTGTATCTACAATTTGGTGCCTCATGGTTTTGGATTGTCAAACTTGGAATATGTATATATATATATATATATATATATATATATATATATATATATATATATATTTAGCAGTGTGTTTGGTATCTAACAAACACTAATCGAAATACTTTGCTGTTTGTCACTTTCTGTGATGTTGATTTCTTTAACCTATCGTGTTTGTTTCGTACACACGTTGATGTCGAAAGGTTCTAGGTTAATCTATATTCATACTGTATACAGATTTAGTCTGAAGTGCTTAATACCCAATTTGTTGTTGTTATTACAGTGTAGATAGTGTTTAGTCATGTTTTATAGAATATTACGTGTTCCTCAAATCTACGTCACTTGAACACACTAAATAAAATTCCATCATTTTATTATAAAGTATCTAGTCTATATATCTGTGTGTATTACCTATATCTTTGCACAATTTTGTTCGGGTCTTGGTGTATATTACTTGTAATGGTTTCAGATTAACGGTTTTTACCTGTTTTTGCTCGGAGGAGAAGGAGAAAGAAGAGAAGATCACCAGTATCACCGTCATTATCATTATCATCATTACTACTTCACTAAAAGTATGAAAACTCTTCAAAAGGTGTGGAATTTTTTTTTCCTTAGACAAACAGCACAAAAAGGCAGGCAAGTTTAGCCCATTTCTCCTCTTTATTATCATCATCTAAGGGGGTGTTTGAATGTAGGCAATTTTATTGATTCATCGCTGTTTTTGATGTGTTTGTGGTACCTTTTCCAGTACGAATGTTCATTTATTCTCTTTTACAGTCTTTCTTATTTTTCTAATAACCTTCGGTGTAGCGAATAGCTGTTTTTCAATAGTATATGTAGTAGTAATAAGAAATAACCTAAAGTAATAAACTGTGGTAGTCGACGTAAGTTAATAGGAGTCAACTAACAGCAGTTACCATCCAAAAAAAGTCAACTATAACCCTTCCTCTTATGACGGTGAAGGAGGATTCTGGTAGAGCTATGTGTTCAGAGTTGACCAGGTATTCAAGAATTAAACTGGTAATTGATCTACATTCTACCCCCGCTCTCGACAACTGTGCAGGATAGTGCTGAGACATATGTGTGGAAAATGTGCACTCTGTGCGACCTTTATAACTAGCTTAACATTCGATCAACTATGGACATAAAGCTCCACCAGAGTCCTCCTTGAGTATCATTTACAGAGTGAAAGGAAACAGTTCAAATGGAATACACTTTCGACAGTTGTCCATAACAAAAGCACTGACAATTCACCAATTCTCTCTTCTTGTATTGTTCTGAGTTCATTAGATCCACCCATGCATAGATTCAATGCGAGTTAATTGTTCTCAGCTCTTATATTTGAAATGTATAACTATGAGGACTGGAAACACTCTAAATAAAAGCAAAAGTTTTAAAATTCACAGTTCCAGGTTGGAAACAGCCGAACGAAACTCGATTACGCCGCAGTCAGTCACCTGATATGATCCTCTTTAATTACTAATCTTGTAAGTGTTTATTTAGATTCTCTAAAGTCTAATTTCAATTACACACAAGTTATAGAAGTTGCGCATAGCGCTTTTCATATTTTCATTGTTTTCTGAAGAAAAGATGAAACGGAAACTTAGTAAGACTAAGAAACATTGAGGGATTTTAAAATTCTGTTTCTTGCAAGAAAACCGCAATCTTGAGTTCATGCTCCTTTCATCCCAACCATCAAGTATTTTGTACAGATCTTCGGTTCAGGTTCTGAAAGTATCCCTAATTAACTTTTATTTTTGTGAACTACAATGCAGTATATTGATGTGGGTGGGTGAATAGAGAAGGCTCTAGCCAGTTAAAAGGTACGGATTTACTCTGTTCACGAATGGAAGACGAGCATACATGACTGTTTTTCACTTTTTATTTATTTTTTAAAGATAGTAATCATCATGAACTAGCATAAATTGAAGAAGGATTGAAAACCCAGGAGCACTGAATATCTGTTTCGTCCTAGTAGTATAGGACTCCTTAACAGTACACACCTACGACCCAGACTAGGGATCGATCGAGGGTGCGTACCACTGTGGTGTCCCGTATTAGTGGGACGAAACGACTGTCCAGAACTCCCAGGTAGTCAATAGTTTACCAGCTGATATCAGCCCGTAATGAATATTACCTTAAAATTGAAAGCCCCATTACCGTCAAAATACTTTACACTGTATTGAAATACTAAATTCTCTCAGTAAAATATTGGTTTCTGAATATAAATGTATGTAATCTGGTATTTATAGTTCATTAGAAGATGATAAGAATAGAACACAAGGGAGAAAATGGGAGTCAGTTTTTCTACCTGAGTACTTCAGTAAACTGTGCACCTATGATCTCTTTATTGGCTAATCGAAAACTTATTCTACGGTTTGTATTCTTTTTTTAGTATGTGAAGTGTAACTCTACTAACTTGTGTGTTTCTACTACTTTTCGTATCTCTCTCCCTATGTTTGAGTCGAAATTATGCACACAAAAAACACGCTTCTAATGTGGTAAATCTAATTTAAATATTTATTTGATTATTGTGATATTTATCTGCTACTCCTATGCAGCTGTGGCTCATCGGTTTAGGAAAATAACTTTCAACTGTGACGGGCCGCGTATTTGAGACCCACTCCACCTTCCTAGGTTTAGGCAACCTGGCAGTATCAGTAGCCCTCACACGATAGGTGTGGCTCATTGCCTACTGCACGACTACGTACAAAGCTGCTGAGTGTATTTCGATCTGTGTTGCGACTACTACTAGAGTACTCACCAAGTTGCCGTGGTTGGTTTTTGAATGGATGACGTGTAGATAAATGTATATACTCTCCATCATCTTGAGCTAAGGTCCTTTCGATTCTGCAATTATGGTTGTGTGTGTTGGATATTTTAAGACAAGCGGTGGGATATCTCAAGTAACGCAACATCCAAAACAATGTGTACCGCAATACACATAGTGATTGCTAAGGCTATTCAAACTAACTTGTCTTTTTGACAGGACCAATCAACGAGCTATAATTATGGTCGGATATTCAACTGTGGACAAAATATTACTTGCCAGTGGCTATAGGTCCGACAAATGAGTTGTTTCATGACACTGTTCAATTGGGCTTTTGCCAAACTCTTAAAAGGCTCGATTGCGTATGTAAGAGAATGATTTCTTCCGCCTAAACAATCATTATTCACTTTATCTGTTTTCTGATCGGTATATGGCAAAGTTTATCAGCCCCATTGAATTATAGGGTCATTGTTACTACTTGACTAGTCTTATCTCCATGCATGAGGTGGGTTTCGAACCTATACCTTATTGGTTGTTTACCGTAATAGTGTATTTCAGTTAGTCAGGCAAAAAAATAATGGCGTGTTTCAGTTCTATCATTATCGTGAAATATTTATCAGCTTTTCTAATCCATACCCCTTTTATTTTCGTTTATTTTCAGATTAGGATATCTCAATTCTCAGTGAAGCTGGCATGGTTGCTGAGATCTACTTTTGTTTTCATGCTTGTATGATACGTGTACTGCTTGCATGAAATCATTCGTATGTCTGTGTGGTTCTGGCCAAATTTTTGTATGCACTGTTGTGTGTGTGTGTGTGTATGCTTGTTTGTTTGGCTGTGTTCTGCGGCAAATTGTTTATCTTCAGGTTTGTTTGTTCTTTCTTCATTTGTCTCACTTAACCTTTACACTTTCCTCACTTACCTCGTTTGTCACACATACTCACATGCTCCACTCCTTTACTTTCTCACTTTAAATCGGGTCTATCATAGTTTCAGTCTTTTCTATTTTCAGCTTACTGTCTTATTTTCTTAATATTCCTTCTGTTCGGTGTTTCTTGTTGGGTTTTTTCACAAATTCCGTGTGTAATTCCTTAAAATATAGATACATTTCTTAGTCGCGCACCCTCTTGACTTTTTACTTAACCAGTTTTACTGCAATGAACCCCGTTCTGTTGTATCTGGATGGCTAGTTTAGGTACTGAATATTGTGAAGTGTTAAGCTATGGTTTTGAAGCTCATTTTGGGCGTTTTATTCAACTCCTGTTTGAGAATGGTATTTCAGTACGCGTTTTCGTTAGTTAGAGGGATCTATTATCTTTTGTTTTGAGAAGTCAACGTTGTCAAATACAGGTTCAAATTATCTTCAAGTAACTACAGCCTGTAGAATTCGATTGTCAGACAAATCATCGTAGAACCTCGCACTTGTTCAAGTTGCATATGGTAGTATACAAAGAATAAGTGGATAGAAAAAGGAGTGATATCAAAGTGACTAGTACTGGCACACGTTTTGTGTCGTTAATAACCAAACACATGAATCTATAGTTGATTGACGAAATGTATTGAATGTACTCTGACTCTGAGTCGAACCATTAGGAAGACCGAAGTAAACGGAGAGGAGATTGAACCGTGAACACATTGGTTGAAAGTTGAGTTCCTCACCCAATGAATGAGCCATATATTCAATAAGATATTAAACCTTGTCATTGAGTGTTGCACAATACTCGATGGATTCGTATGGGAAGTATGACGAGAAGTCTTACCAAACAACCTTTGACCAGAACGAAGAATATCAATGTAGTGACCTTAGTTCTATACAAAAAGAAACATCCATAAAACTGAAGGTGAGTCAAAATGCTATTCATGGGATGAGAAAAGGGTGGGTAAGCAAATAGTAAATTTGAAGATATGAGCCTACAAAGCAAGTTTCAACCTCATTGTGACGCAGTAGCAAAGCTGTTTCCACATTTGAAAACTTTTTGTGTTCAAAAAATGGTGGATATTTCATCTAGGCAGGTAGAATTCGTCCCGTTATGTTCAGTATCAGATGTCGTAGGATTAACTCCATTATATGTACGAAATCTGTGTTGTTTTGTATTTCACATCAGAATTCATGTTCAGTTGGAGAATGGAAGTATTTCAATCTAATTGGGGACTGTTATTCACCTATGGGTATTTTTTTCTCCAGATGTACAATATATTACACTCAGTAGTCTTCATCTGTGTATACCCTCTGAGGAACACGAACTGAATAGGCAGTGATCTATTTGTATACTTACTTAAGAATAATATGACTCTACTGTGGATTTTCTAAGTATGAGGTTTTTCTCAAGTAAAGTATAATTATCTCTTAAGTTCTTAAAAATATCCATAACTGTCTATTCAGACTTACGGAATGCGAATCAGCAGGAGTGAAATGCAGTACTGTAGGTGATCGATTGGTCGCATTCGTGTAACTGAACAGTGGATAGTAATCTGAATGTAATCTGTTGATGCCGTACCAATATGACCTGTAAGGGGGTGTATTACTATTCCGTAACGTTTGACCAACCCTACTTAACTTGATGTGCTCTAGTACCTGCTTAACCAGTACCTTACCTAACGTGTAAGTACTGATAACGAAACACAAATCAAAAGAACTGGCTTCAGGAATATATTCTAAGAAGTAATGTATTTAATTAGAGTAAATGTAATAGTAATGAATAGGGGAAAGGTTTATTCAACTTATCTGGCTAGTATGGCTGAACTAGGGACTGAGTACGTGTGTTAACCAACACAAAGGAAGTGCAGAAATGGCACTGAAGCCTGCTCGAATGCATGCTCATTAAAACAAAACCTGAAGCATCCGGAGGCGAGCTAGAGGTTTATTTAGTTAATTTAATTTAATCTATTTATTTTAGCCCTAGTTGTATTTCGGTGCCAGGAAGGTGCACTACAAACCCTTCAACTCGAAGTAATCAAGGTGAATTATCTGTTGATATTAATTGCTCCATTCTATGGTTTATTTTTGGATAGAATGGTATGTTTTAGCGTAGGCAATAGGGTGTGATGAGGTTGGGAATGTTAAATTTTGCGAAACCGGGTGATCTGATCTATATTTTGCAAGTATGTAGGGAGTATCACGAATACAATTCACGCTTCCTATATCCATAACAAGTTTCAAGTCTATAGATGTTCGAATAATCTTGAACTTCATTTATTAGTAAACTTTTAATTTTAACTAGTCCGTTGTGCAATCTTCTTAATGCCCTTTAAGCATCTTACCTTCCTGTTTTATGGATGATTAACGCTTAGTTAACTGAAAATGAGCACTCTATATAACTGGCTCACTTTATGAATTGGATTATAGTAGAAAGAGGATTTCAAAAAGTCCCATTAGTTCATTACAATCAATAGAGAATTCTTCAGTTCATGAGGTTCAGTTATAGTAAAATAGGATGCCTAGTGTTACTATTTATTGATATACTTGTAATTCCCTGTTGTTTTATTGGATCGAATTGTTAGACCTCTATTGGCATGTGGGCTCCTATGCGGATGCCTCGACATTGCCTGAATGTTACTAACGGTAATTTAGTCATTTGTGGCTAGCAGAGGAGTCCAGGACGCACGTTTCCTCTCACTTGGGACTCATCAGCCGTATGTACCTGCACCCCAGTGTGGAATGGTGTTCTCACTGAGATTTGAACCTCGTACCCATCGCTTCAAACGCCAAGATATCGTCCATTATGCCAGGTACATCCAGCTGACGAATCCAAAATAGGACGAAATGCGCGTGCTGCATACCTCTGCTAGCCACCACCAACCAAATTACCAGGATACCTGGTAGTTGACATGGAAGGTTACCAATTCGTGTGTTATACTAGAACTATAGAATGACGTTATCCATTGGTAGTTGGAACACCACATAAATCTGTAGAATTGGCATGGAGTATTGTACCCAACAACCAGTGAATTGTGTAACTTATAGTATTTCCATTTTGAAGAATGTTTAAACATTTCTGTAGCCAGGAGGACTACATTCGCTTCGATAGAAATTTTGAGCGGAGATTCCAGTCCCTATAGTCTTTCTTGCCGAAGTTTGTCACTCATGTATGTGTGGATTGTCTCTAACCGATGGAATCAGCTTGGTTCGTATAAAGTGATTGAGTTATGGAATGCATGGGACCATCTATAAAAAATCAATGTTTGAGTGATACGCTTGTCAGAAATCCTTTGTAACATTCACGTGTCCATTTTTGTTGAGCGTACAGTAAATAGATACCAGCTGGTCACATTGGGATACCTACAAGATAGTGTAATCATGTATAGTAATTGACATTTAAATTCCCAGCTTTAAAACGTCCGTCATCCGTCTTACCGCTGCTAATGCTATCCATCACCACGTTGACTGTCAAAGGATGCATTGATATAAGAGATGCTTCAACTTACTTTCGTCGAATCAAGTTAATTATTCAATCTAGTGTTCATTAGTGGCATACTTTGAGATGAGTTTCCTGAGCTTCTGATGAGAAGTTGTGACCTTTGCTGTCACTCAAGTCGGTTGTGAGGACAAATACTCGCCGATAGCGTTGGATGGTCGTCGCGCTATATTGTGAGTAGACAGATGTAGGCAGACGTAGACCATTGCCTGAATGACAAAGTTTTCATCGCGAAACCTGTTGGTTGTGGGTAAGCACTACTGAGGAATTCTATAGCGGAACGAAACATATGTCCAGTACTACCAGGTTTTCGAACCGATTTGATTCCATAATGAATACCACCTTGAAATCTAGAAGTTATTTCTCCCAATTGCTGGAGTTGAAAAGCGCAAATATGTATTGTATCTTTGTCCCATAAATGCTACTGTGTGTGACGCTGGTCTTAACATGATTCCCGGCTGACACGTAAAATCTATGGTGTGACTAATGGCCGTTCCAGCAGTAACTGAAATGACCAATGATTTTTCTTTATTTTATGGAAAACTACGTCTGTGTATAAAGTAGGGGAATTCAATCGGTTATTGCGACGATATCTGGGGTCTAAAGCGCGTAGGTACCCTTGTCGATACCTCAAGGTCATGCTCTGCTAAGTTAGTCATGAAACCTAGACTGGTGTTTTTGCGTTTGTTAGTTGTATGGTTACAGTTGCAACAATAATCTTAACGCATACATTGGATGTAACTAAGAATTTAATGCATAAATGTGTTTTTCGTCATCAGCATTCATTAGGATACCTTTTGCCTGCATGTTTTTCAGCGGGATTAAATGACATGATGTTATTCTATTGATGAAAGCCTGGACTGTGGCACGTTTCAAACCAGTGGTGTCGAAGTCGTTGACCTGACGGTCAGCAGCTAAGTCACTAGCTTAGAGGATAGAGCACCGCGTCGATAACCATTCAGGTTTTCATTTAACCTAGTATCAATGAAATCAGCCTGCTCAACCACGCCTGTCTCAATTACTCCCATTGATATGCATATTACAGTTGTGAAGAGGCTTATCACCATACACTTACCGTTGATTACTTACATCCGAAATCAATAGCCACTTCTTTCATCATAGGAAAAAAAGAGATGATCACTGAGAGGAGAGCTTCTTTTCGACGAAATCATTTTGCTCACTGCATATTCCTGAATAGATATAAGACAAAGTATAGATAATTCCAGAGTAATTTCCAGTCAAAAGACCAAGTGAATTGCATGAAAAAGGAGAGTCACGTATTGTCTGTAAGCGTTTAAAATGGGAACATAAATGAATGACGACAAAGGAAGATGTAGTTACGTCAAAGGGAGTCTTCTAGAGTGGTCGGTCTTCTAACGTACAATGAAGATTTGAACTTTTGAATTGCTAATGTTACAGGTATATCGAGATGTATAAACCTCACCCCTTTCAAATGCCTTGGTAGTAATTTTGTACAAAAGTTTGAAGGAATTGAAAAAGGTAGCGAAGCATCCCTCTGAGTTTACTCAGTAATTTCATACAGAGCTGAACATATATTTTTCCTGTTGTCAGCCTGGTTGTGTACTGTTTGCAAATGTATTGCATAAGCTGGCGGAAGTACTCGTATTGTCTTCTCCGAGCTAGGTTATTTAATCGTGAAGCTTTCATCATCTTTACATACGACATCATCAGCACTAACTTCAGTA